ATCGAATAATGTATGATATTCTGCTTCATATTTTTAAAACAATAATTTCACTAGATCTCTAAAACTAAATCATGATTTTCAATTAATCAGTCATCGTCACAGTCACGTTTGGCTCACGCTAAGTAGTCAACCACTCATCATCATCAGAATAAAAATCACGTTTCTCTTTTAAAAAAAGAACAATTAGAAAAAATAAAAAAAAAACAATTCATATTTTTTATCTGTTGTTATCTTGGAACTTGTAAGCATGACATTATTCTATGTAGGAGAGCAGGTTTACAACCACGCCTGTACTGAGAATTAAGATAATAGTATAATAGAAGTGTTAGGAGTCGACTACATTATGTACTGGAACAAAAATGTTCAATAAAAGGCAGGAAATTACTATAAGACCCTAGTCGGTACAGTTCTCTATGGTTCGGTAAGCAGGATGGCAAAAATGTGAGTGAATTTTTAAGCACATTGATGTTAATATTATTTATTTTAACAAAACTTTAGATTTACCTCTAAACTGTATGAATTATACATATATCTACATATAGGATAAAATTTAAACTGAATGTAATGTAATTTAGTTGCAATTTAAGTTGTCGCAGCCCTAGAGTGCTTGATTAACGTAGGTAACAATAAAATCCCTTAAAGTTTTCGCAAGACTTTTTGAAGTGCTTAATTAATGTAGATAATAGTAAAGTCCCTTAACAATTTAGTCAAGTCACCGAGTTCTTTTGTTTGTTTTCTATTGGACTAACATGATCTTATTTGTTTATTTATTTTATTTATTTAAAATGCTTCATGCACAAAATGTACAAAAAGGTGGACTTAATGCCGCAGGCATTTTCTACCATTACCATTACCATTACCAGGCATTTACTATCTACTATGACTTCATCCCTGGATCCCTGTACAAAACAAAAACGAACACTTTCATTGCTATATTCAATTTGAAGCTACGTGTCTTTTATGCAAATGTGTATTCCGCAAAGGTATGTTAAGGAAACTAAAGCCAATGTTATACAAGTTCAAAGGGCTTGCAGTTATTGCAATAAACAACTTTTATGATGCCCAATAATATAATGAAACCATAATAAAACTCGTTGTTATGTTATTCTTTATACTTTAGCAACTTAGAACATTATGTAAGTCAGTACATGTGACCCAACTTCGAACGACCTTAGTTTCATAAAACAAATTAAAACCTCCTTCAAGAATAAACACACTGTCCATTTGCACATTCTATATTTAAACAGTTATGAGTATTTGTTGAATAGTTTTTCAGTTAATCACATTCACCAAGTTCGGCTGAATGTTATTGGGGCTACTGTATTTTTACACATCAAATAGCGCTAGTGTACTCGTTCTACGTCCAATAGGGAATTAGCTAGTGTCACGCCATTGGACGTTTAATTTTTGACAGCTGCAGTGATTGGACAAAAATACTTCTCTCAAAAGTACGGTAGCCCCCATTCGCAGATGTTACCAAAATTACTCAATACGGAAACGAGAATAACCTAATGCGAATTCCTTTTGAACTACACATATCTAAGTTCTGAAAATATTAAGACCAAATTATAGCAATGTGACTAATCGAATAATGACTAACTAAAGATGAGTAGACTAAAAACCGACACTGGATCTTGCACACCCATCCTAACTCTAAGTGTAGGAGGGCCGACCCTGTACACAAAATATTAAATATGATTCAACAATTGCAATGACCATTAAGCACATTTTTCTACCACTCAAGGCCAAAGAACCTCGTCTCCAGGCAATTCCCACAAGTGGAAAGGTCAAACTTCGTAATGTTTTAGTGCATTTGATAGTCCTTTGATGTCACAGAGGAAGTACTTTAGCACTAGTTTTGTACTGTGATGTACAAAGAACCTTGAATCGTTATCTATTTTGTTATTATTGTTGGTATTCATCTATAGTTTATTATGTTTTCTACTGTCTCAGTAGCAGCGCAACAGTCACCGCGTCGCGAAATGCTGCTCATGAATATGAGCCTCTAGCATGGCTTGAAACTAGTCGAGTTCCTCGTCAAATTATTACGTGAGTAAGCCGAAAACATAATAATTTATTTAGTATGTCTCACGAAAGTTACATAACAAATTTATAGGTATGATATGTAGTTGTCGTTGCTAGTCAGATGGTCAGAAAATCTGTCAACGAGTCTTACCAGTAATGCGGATCTGTCACACTGATGGGACATCGTTAAACAACTGATAACACGGTTGGCGCGGTGCCTGGGCAACTGGCTGCCGAATAACAAAAATGAAAATGAGCTCTTTGTGTGATCCAAAAATTGTTGTTCCGAGTCTGGGTGTCATGTGTATGTGAACTTGTATGTTTGTAAACGCACCCACGACATAGGAGAAAGTCCTCGTGTGGGGCAACATTAAAAAAAAAACAAGCAGTTAATATTCGTTTCATGTAAAATAATAATTGATATATAGCACTATCAGACTAACTGCCGTACTCAGTCATTTAATGGTTACTTAACCCAGTCCTTTGCAATTGTTTTTGGAACAAAATCGTTACTAAGGAATAGTTTAAGTAATCACTTAATGTCTCTGAGTATCGCAGTAAAACAGTATGAAATTCAATCTAGATGAAAAAAGGCCAGGAGTGAGAAAAATATACTTTTATAAACTGGCAAAATTTCGACTCCCTTGGAATACCTGACGTGTTACAAAATTGTTTAGCATCTTGTTGTCTATCTACTGAGATATGTAGAAACTAAATTCACAGGAGAAACCAAGATGCAAACTAGTTATGCAATGTTACTTAATCAAATCCTGATACCCAGTATTTTAAGTCGTTAGTAGCGATTAATAATAGAATTAATCTTTGGGTTAAACGAAGCTTCGTTTTGACCATCAAAAGCCATTCAATTGACTATAACTATAAAACCGAATAGACTTTGCCAATTTGACCTGTTCTTTCTAACGGATGTAACCGTCTACTGCCATCCAATACCATATAACTTAATACTAACTCAGCTTCGCGGTTTCACGTTCATATTCTGGTCTTGAGTGCAACGTGATGCAAAAGTGTTATACATACGACCTTTATACGTAACAGGTTTGTCCAGTCAGATATTAGAATATTTTTCAGTTTAATGCCATGTCGCCTTTACAAAATAAAAGCATTTTAAAATTAAGCTTATTTTTTATAATTTTCCTTATAAATTGGACTGTCATTTACATACTGTTTAAAATTGTCATTATGATTCGCCATTACCAATCATCGTCATTAGATATTATTATTATAGCATTATAGAGGTAGGATATATTATAGCATTAATACATAAAAAATTACTAAATACTTAGTTTGGTCAAACTCAAAAACAAACTATGGCTTTATATGGAACTCAAATAATATAGATTGCATATATGCTCAAGAAATTCATAAACATATCGTCATTTTCGACCATTCGAAAGAGCTTTTCATTAAGTTTAACTAGCTATAAACAACAACACAAGCTGACACACTTAGCAAATACTTTTTACCTGTATTTGTCCTAGAAAAAATATTCGTTCTTAGAAATAAGTACGAAGTGAAGCAAGCTATTAGACCATGTTTACCTTGTTTAAAAACAAGTACGTTACGTTTGTAGTATGGATCATTGAGTATTTAGTTCGATATGGGTCACATCGCAAACCAAACTTGATTATACGTAATCTATATTGCGAAACAGAGGTCTAGCGATAGTTTAGTTTTGGTGGTAATTTTGTTGAAAACTCCGCTTGCTAGAGGCCTTAGAATGAGTTTGTTTTACGTTTAAATCGATTCGTAACGAACTCTGATTGGTTGGTTTATTGGAACCAACCAATTACAGCGCCGAACGCTGTCTACGTACGTTCGTACGTACGTACTAAACCCTCAGATTACGAGTAATGCGAATACGACCATGACAATTTAATCAAATGAAATTGGAATATTGGATATCATATCAACATGTCAATAGGGTTAAAACTGCGAAATGTTCTCTTATATCGCGAAAAACCGTCGGTATTTTGAACAATCCAAATTTATTTTTAATCTTTATCTTTATATTATTAATTTATTATAGGAATAGGCTAGATCCCTAATTTTTATTTTAATGTCTATCTGATATATTATTTTAATTCATTAGACACGTATTTTTCTTACAGAAACGAATACTTTCGAAGGTAAATTGATTTGAAATGTCTCGTGACGTCACTTCTATGTACATACATTTTATATGTAGAAATCACGTTTTAGGAGTGGGGACTCCTAAACTTGAATTCTTTTTATGTAAGTATTATTTTATTATACGACAAAATAAAAAATACGTGTCTAATGTTTTTTCATTACCTAACTTACGGACTAGTTATATTTTTAATTTTCATACCCTGTCATCATCCCTATTATGTAGAACACTTTTAAAAATACATTTTCGATTAAAAATGATTATTTAAGTGCATTTTTATTTTAATCTCGAAAGCTCATCAAAGTATGTAATTTAAAAAGGGACATGAATAAAGCACCTCATTAAACCAGCATAATAATCTCATAAAACTGAGGGCTTGCACTCAAAAGCCCGTATGACAACACTAGAGGAAACATCTCACAAAGGAGAAGTATCAAGTTCCTATTACATGGCCTCTTGATCACGTACTACGTATTCAAGCATATCTATAAATAGACAAAAGTTTCCCAATTCAATTCAGTAATTTCTTTTACTCGTAAAATGTCCATAGATTAGATCACAAAGAACTTTTTGACGAAACTCGTGTTTGAACTCCCACAATCAGGACCACTTTAGTAAATCGTCACCATAATGGATCAGGTAACGTAATACATTTCGAAAGAATCAAGAGAATACGTAGAATTCCACTCACAATGATACGACAAAAAAATTGTGTGACAAAGTTCATAGACTCCTCTCCCGTCTCATAAAGGATTAGGGCGCAGCGGGAAGCGGTAAGTGGAGGTGGTCCTTATCTGAGACTGTTTCAACAGCACAGTCGACGGCGTAGTGGGGTACTCGCGCGCCACCACTTCGCGCTCTATCGCGACTGACGCAAGCCGCGCCCGCGCAACACGACCGCTACTTTCAAACGAGCCAATTTCGATATTCAACTTTTAAAAATGTATTCGAATGAAGTGAGGTGAATCGATTGAAACTGTTCAGTGATTATTAAAGTGCAAATAAAAACAAGTGTTTTGGAACAAATTTTTGTGAAGGATTTATTTTTTGTTAAGGAGCAACCCTTTACAAATTCAAGGTAATTTTCGTTGTTTTGTTATTTTAAGTTGTTGCGGCAACAGTAACGGTGTCGAGGAAAATTATTGCAAGTGCAGTTTCGTTTTGCGGCTACCTATTTGCAACATACGTCGCCAGAGTGTCCGGTTTAAAACGGACTTTCTCGCACGTATTTTGTGGACGGTTCCTACCACAACATACACTTACTATATCTATAAAATATGTCCTGCTATATTATATTATATTGATGAAGATATTGCGCCAGTTTTGGTTTGTGTTTTTCGCAAAATTAAATGTCTGCATAAAGATAATTTATTCTGTAGGGGTTTTAAAGAATAAACAGTAAATATGTATATGCAAAATGGACAGATTTTTTTTTTATATCAAAGACCCTTAATGGTCAGTCACTTTGCCACTTAATTTTTTACCACAAAATCACTGACAATGAAAAAGTTGCTAGTTAGAGTGCGCCAGATGTCATCATCCGGAAATTCTTACTATTTTTTTTTTAATAAGTATCTATTTCACAATCCAATCTAGTTGATCAAAAATAAATTTAGAATTGAATTACTCATCGGTGAAGTATGAAAATGCAATTTACTAAATAATAATACCAAAAAATATTATCAAATTGTCATTATGCAATGCAATAAGTGTAATGGTACCTAGGTGATTATTTAATAGCCTAATTCACTTTAATCATTGTTGATTTGTCATGGTTCGATACTTTCTTTTGATGTTCAATGTATTTGTATAACATAATACATTATAGAGTGAATTCGCCTGTTCGCGTCCACCCATCAGTTTTTGTCCATTTTATAGACCGCCATGAATGTTACACACTGAAAACGTGTAAGATCAAAGAAATGTGTACTATCTACTACTGGTAGTTTTTTTTGGGAATTTTTTAAAGAGTTTCCGTAAAATGGACGCGAACAGGTGAACTTACCCATGTATTGTATGGGCTGCTGAATAACTGAGTCTTTTACAAAGAATGTCACCGACTTTATGGTTTAGTTCATAAGTAGGATGAGCAAATTTTCCCATTACACATATGTTGATGTACCTTGTGTAATTGTTTGAACATTCACTTTTTCTCAACTTGCTAATGTTAAGCAAAATATGTACCTCATTTTTTAACAATATTTAATGCAATAGTGGTTTGGACGACAGAAATGTATACTATTCACAGACAAAAGTATTTATTTTGTTTTTAGAATTTTTAACCGTCAGGTATTAGAAGTCAGAAGTTGTTTTTTAAGCAAATTCTTAAAAAAGGAGGAGGTTATCAATTCGGCTGGTATCTTTTTTTTCGTAAGTCTATTATTCAAAGACATTAAATCATGTTAGAATAAGGATGTAAAATGGCTAAATCTATGCAAGTAAATACTATAAACATGAACTAGATATAAAATCAGACAGGACTATTAGATATTTATTAAACAGATACCTAGAGAAGATTACTTTATACCATGCACGTATTATATTATTTTCCATCTCAAACCCATTTACACAAAGATATCTAAACGGAGTGTGGGAAAATAGAAACTGTATTGATCTAATAAATATTCTCATACCTCATCTATCAACGTCAATTTTCTCAAGAGCACCGTAATTGATATCCAGGGAAAGTGCTTGAGAAATTCTCAGACATATCACTTATAATACAGCATACTGAAACGCTACTCAATATATACGCTTAAATACAGTGCTGACACCACAAATACTTTGTAACTGCTCGTACACAAAATTGCGATGCAACTTCGCATCGCAAAAATGTGCGAGCTCCCTCTACGCATCGCAAGAACTTGCGAATTGATTCGCATCGCGCATCAAAATCTTATCTACCCAAAATCTTCTTTGTTTCTTTTTCCTATATCTCCTAATCCTAAACAATAACTGAAGTGCACACTTCTTTTTACGATTCATGTCACAACCTAGTTTCCAATTTAAAATACGTTTAGTACGGTTGACGGTCGTCGAAGGAATGGTTACCCTGGGAGACGCCTTGTCACACGAAATCGCATCGCAGCAATTCGCATCGTAATTTTTTGAGTTGCGAATTCGCATCGCATCGCAGTTTTGTGTACGAGCCCTAAAACGATAGATGTGGTACGATATTCAAGTGCAACACTAAATTTAATAGACTTTTAATATTCGGGCGTTAGAGTAGACACAATTAATGGAGTATTAAGGTGAAATAACTTGAAACATTTTCGCTTGAATAATTAAGTAGCTAAATTATGAATAGTAAGCAACTGTTTGCAAGTTAGTTACAGTCAACCAAATCTCCTGTGACCATCGATTGCTCAGCTCAATAGTTACCCAATTTTTGCGGTCTCTGTACTGAATCTTAATTTTCCTAGATGTATACACTAAATTATAATAATGACTATAAGTAGATATGTCTTTAGTTACGTGCATAGGACATAACGTACTAAATTAAACAACTTTAATACTTTGACCACTTGTGGATGACAGTTTGAAAAACATTGTCCATATTGTTTTTGCTCAAAAATGTATTGAGGACAACTTTTCAACTGAAGTAAACACTTTTTAAGAATGCAGTACATTTGATACAAAACTTTCACTCTCCAACGTTTTATTGACTACATAATATTGTTCATTTTAATTAAACATTTATTTTCTTCATAAAACTACCGGTACATAACAGTCAGCTGCGAAAACACTAAAATTATATAAGAAGTTTTTTTAGTTACGCATTTTTTCTCAGCTATAGTCTCAAACATCAACAAATGTCTCAATTATCTCACTGGATCAGTCCATCGAGCCGCCATTTTAGCAAAAACACGTTGTTCCTGATTGTGTGGGAGATACGTAACACAGGTGGAAACTAGATATGAAATCTGAGATCACACACTGTAGTTTAATCCCATCAGTTAGATCATAGAGAAAGTAGGTGATGCTATGAACGTGTGAACAAATCCGCAAAAAAAAAACAATAGCAACCATAGCGTTCCACTTTTAAAAAGTCGTGTACGATTTTTTTCTTATTGATTTTATTTTTCTTTATTGCCATTTACAAAAGGCAATGTATCGAAACTATTTCTGTCTATGTCGCAGTCGGAGTTATTTAAATAATTGATGCATGCTGGCTAGTCTTCTGATAAACGCCTTTAAAGTTCAAAAAAATGGGTGAAGTTCATCATAAATTTTGAATAAACGTTGGTTGTTTTTTGGGATTACAAGGTATACTCACCGTCAGAAACATTTTTAATGGATTCTGTGTCTTTAAAAGGAAAGAAATATTTCCATGGACTTGATTTATTTTTACACTGTTTTCCCTTTATTTTAATCTTTCATCGTACCGTTAAAAGTAAAAATTTTATAAATTTGAATGTTCGTATGTACGTTACTCAATTATTATATGTTACTCAATTATTTCACAACGGCTGAAGGGATTGTTACGGGCATAGTGGTACACTATAGTCTGTTACGTTTTCTCTAGCAGAAAATTGTATTGTATAAAATGTACAAATTTTGCTGCTTTTACATTTTAATTTGTGCAAGAAAGACATGCTGTTCTTGTTCGATCCCAAAGTAAGCTCAGAGAATCTTTTTCAAGAGAATAAATTTAAGACTTTACTTGCCAAAAGGCGAAAAAAAGAAACTGGTCAGTCGCAGGTAACCACGTGCTCCGGTGCCACCCTTAAATTAAAAAAATACAAATCCTTTTGTTCAGCAGGTACCGGCCATTTTAAAATATAGTGCCAAGTTATCTGTCGAATCGGACCAAGTGCAAAAGTATAACAAAAAACGAATAAAGGACTCTATTGTGTAGAAATTAGTGGCGCTGTCGCCTGAACTGTTAAGTTTGTGGTACAGGTGATTTTATAAAATAGACACAGGTGTGAGGGTAGGTTTTTCATACGATTGCATATTTTTTTTTTTTTTTTTTTTTTTT